GTACCGGCCCGAACTGAGTATAACCTTTCAGAACCGCCGACACAGTGACCCGCTGTCAGAACCCAGTCCTTGGAGATGATGCTGCCACCGCAGGTGTGACTGTTGTAGTACTGAAAACTCACTTGATATGGGACTTCCTCAATGGAGGCATTCCTACCGCCGATGATCCGGTGGTCTGACTGGTCCAGAAACGGTAGGGCATTGCCTGAAATCATTTATCACGGTCAAATACTTTGGCGGACAAACGAATTAGAGATACTTTATTCAGGATTTCCATTTGCTTGCTGCGTTGAGTTGGTCATAATTACCCGCTGCTATTGCAGACACTGCAACCAAGACGATGAGACGATTCATGATCCTTGCTGTTGCAACACAGAACTGGGAGTAGCTGGCATATGTCCTCCTTTTTAAGGGGAACTGCCAGGCACTCGGAATTTATCAGAATTTCTATTATCAGAATTTTTTATGGATTAAATAAGAAAAAACCGTGCGCCACTTTGGTGCATTTCTATCGACTGTAATCTTATCGTTGGTATTGTCGCCTGCTTAGGAGTGATTAGAACCGTGAATAGCAGAATGATTGAGAGATTAATCTCCAGTCGAGAAACGAGAGCAATTTTAAAACCAAAGGGGAAAATGAAGGAGGGAAATTTGACATCAGGAAATTTATTCATAATTCAGAATCTAGAAAGTTCTTGCCATCATGCAACTTTTATGAATGAACACCAATTGTTTGCGAAGGATGTATTTATTAGAAGAAAGATTATCATGATCTTCTCCAGACTGAGATAATACTCAACATCATCGAGAATCACGATTCCAGGTACATATTGTAAAGTAGAGATTCAAAGATCGAAGCATTCAAACATTGGAGTGAGCCCTGATCCAGGAGCGGTAGGAAGAGACTTCGATGTAGACTCCAGGGCTTCCAGCGACGGCACAGCCATGTCCCCAGGATACAACACCAACAAGACGTTGACGGACACTCAAGGGGCCGCCAGAGTCTCCTTGACAGGAGTCCTTACCACCTTGTGGATAGGCAGCGCAGATCTGTCCGTCGGGAATGCCTCCTCTTTTTCCATACTGCCGATAGCAGTCCTCCTTGGAGATCACTGGTACCTGGACCTTTTGAAGGACAGCAGGAGCACCGGTGTTTGTCATTCCCCACCCGGTGATGGTGGCCAGTTCTCCAGCTGGTGATACTTCACCCATGGCGGGGAGCTTGATGGCTCGACGGGTCTTATCCAGGACGAAGGGCTTTGCCACTCGCACCAGGGCGATGTCGTTGACAGGGTGACCGTAGGAGTCGACGCCGTAGTCGCTGTGACGGATTATCTCTTCGACGTTGTGCACCGAACCCCCTTTTTTGTGGAA